TTGGCCTGCTGTGTTCATCCAGCTCTGCACCTTGTTGTCTCGGATTCTCCAGCATCTGCAGTTCCTACTATCTCAGGAAGATACTACATGCCCTGACACACTCATTACACTACCCTACATCAGGAACACATCGGAACTCACCACAAGACTCTTATGACTGCTGGGCATCAGAGTGGCACACAAGCTCACGTCAACCCTACGACAACTGCTCACCCGAACTAAAGACCCACTCCCCGCCATGGACAGGACCAATGTCATCTACAAGATCCCCTGCAGAGACTGTGAGAAACACTACATTGGACAAACAGGAAGGAAACTAACAACAAGGGTACACAAACACCAACTGTCTACAAAAAGACACGACCAATACTTACTCATCTCAACCCACACGGACAAGGAGAACCACCATTTCGACTGGGACAACACCAAAATCCTGGGACAAGCTAGGCAGAGACATGTACGAGAATTCCTAGAAGCCTGGCAGTCCACAAAGCATGCTATTAATAAACACATTGAACTCGACCCCATATACATTCCGCTACGTAGGAAAACCGGAAGTGAGGCAATCTAGCTCAACGGACTCGAGTTTAAAAACCAGACAGGAAAACACACCGATGCTTCATTGGAGGCTGCACTGAGGAGGTTACCCAGCATGGTAATGGAACGACTGGGATACAAGAAACCAGCTCTTCAGATTCATTTACTGTGTCATCAGTGCCAATTAAACCTAAAGAATATAGCCTAACAATTTAGTTGCCACTCTGTATAATTGCTGATTTTCTATCACAACCTTAAACAAACTTATCCACTCTTTCTGCTCTTCTCTTTCATAATATGCCATGTTCCCTGCATTGATCTGATGACCAAAGGATGATTGGAAGGATGTGACTGTGCAGGGTGAGGGAGAAGGTGCAAAGAAAATTTACCAGGATGTTACCTGAGGTGAACGTCTCAAATATGAGGAGAGATTGGATAGGCTGTCTTTTCCTTTACAGCAGAGGAGGCTGAGGTGGGATGTGATTGAGGTATACAAAATTATGAGGCATAAACAGAGCAGATCGGGAGAATCTTTTCCACATGGCAAATGTGTCTAACACTGGAGGGCACAAGTTTAAGGTGAGGGGTAAGTAATTTAGAAGAGATCAGAGAAAAAAAATCACCCAGAAGCATGTTTCAATTCTGAGAGAACAATGGAGGGAGATACTCTCACAACATTTATGAAGCGTTTGGAGGGACACTGAAAATGCCAGGGCATAGTAGACCATGGACCAAGTGCGGGTAAATGGGATGAGTTTAGTTTGGTGTTTGTAGTCAGCAGTGTGCTGAAGGGTCTGTTTCTGTGACCATATATCCAAAGACTTGTTGAATTTTCTGTGAAACCTCAGCCTTTATGATTGTTCTGTAGGGCATTCAAGTATTCAGAATAAGCAGAGTTAATTACAGACTATTCACAAGCCAGAGTATGATCACTCATTACCAAAGGAATTTTCAGATTTCTCCCAAAAAACAATTAACATGCAATGTAGCCACCAACCATTTGCTGTGACTTCTTCACACAGACTGCCTGTGGAAAGGGAGATGTTAATTTAAAACTTGGCCATCCACCAGGATTTTATGAAGCATATCATCCAACTGCGTAATCTCTTTCAAACATTCCATTACTGAAATGACTTTGCGCTACAATGTTCATTACCACAATGTTAACATTTTTAGACATATCCCTAAATTCATCAGTCAAATACCTCCATTATTTTTAGTTAGCAATTTAGCCTGTGTCCCCAGTCCAGTCCTTTAATCGATTTCTCCATTATCTTATCCACTGTTATTCTTTTCTCTTTAGCATTACTGAAAAAAAATCTTTTTTGAAGCTTTTAATCTTGCATCATCAGGAGAATTTGTAAGAATACCAGTGTGAAGGAAAAATAACATTTGCACAGTATGAGAGGTTGCTGACTTGTTGGCAAGTGAACTCTGATTGATTGATTGATTTTATTGACATGTGTACCGAAATGTAGTGAAAAGCCTTGTTTACGAGTGGTACAGGCAGATCACAACAAGCAAAGGATGTACAGATCAAAAAAACTTAGAGGCATACAGGTTATATTGCAGGTTACATTATTTGAGGCTAGAGTACATTCAGCAGTCTGATTATGGCCAGAAAGAAGTTGTTCCTGAAGCTGTATGTGCGTGTTTGGTAGACAATTGTCATGCCAATTGCAAGAATGTAACACACTACGCCAGTTTCAACTGGCAATGACCAATAAAATAGGTCATTGCCATTCAAGGCAATGCCTTGCCTAATTTCAATCAACCAGTGTTAATCCAGAATTGAAATTTCAGCAAAACTTGGCAATTAATATTGAGTTCATCATCGAATTGATGCATTTTTCCATTGTATTGCTACAACTTTGTCTCAGTGTCTCACTAATGGGACACTCACTGTAGGTTGTAACTAGGTTCTCCTATACATTTTTACATGCATTACATTTACCACTGATGTAATTTTAAAATATTTAAGCATTTTTGTCTTGTAATTCCTTCAAATTACTTTGGTCCTCATTATTTAAAGAATTTTGGTAACGATTTAATCAATCAACTCCACATATTGTGGACACACATACGCTGCAACTGAAACATTCATGAATGAGCTGAACTTTCTTGTAACTAATCCAATTCTCTCTACCTGATCAGCATCACCATCTTCTCCTTTCCAACCTTCTTAGTCATTCATTAAGTCAATAGCCCTGTTGTTCCACTTAGGACAATTCATTGAATAACGGTACTCCGGTTTGCAACTGATTCGTCTGTTGATCATATTCTGGGTATTCCTGAGTTTCATAATTCTGTTGTGGATCCCCAATTCCCGCATCTCTTATAATTGCCAAAGAGGCCTCTATCCTCATTAATCTTAATCCAGATTCTACTTTTGGATTGACATAATTAGCCTGTATCTGGGCAGTCTCACATTGCTGCTATCGCTGAATCTTCTGTTCCTAAAGTAATTGCAGAATGTCCCATTTGAGCCAAAAAGGAGATGGGAATGAATGTTTTTCCAGGATTTTTTTTTTTTTTTAAAGACTTCTCACATCTGTTTGTAAAGCCTCTTTCCTTCTGAAAATCTAACTCCAGTTAATACTTGGGGTCTAAACATGTTCAACAGCTTAGCACAGTCCAAGCATTTAAGGATAAATAGTGAATTAGAATCATCATGTAGAATTTTTACAATCTTACATATGAGTCAGTTAAATTCCATTATTATTCTTGTATAGAATACATATCCTGTTTTCTAAATTTATCAACGATGTGACAACCCACTTGAGAACATGTGCAGATTCTCAAACCCTACTACTTTATGGTCACCACAAAAGTTAATGAACCAATCAGAACACACAAAGTCACCAAAACCCCTAGAGACACACACAGTCAGAAACAGGAAACAAGAAAACATTGCTTTCGCGGGAAGAGGGAAGAAAACCGGAACCAACAGTTGAATAGCAGGTCAGTTATCTCACCTTTAGGACATCTCTGGAGGGGTTCCTCAGGATAGTGTCCTAGCCCAACAATCTTCAGATGCATCAACAATGACCTTCCTTCCATCATAAGGGTAGAGTGGGAATGTTGACTAATGATTTCATAATGTGCACCATTCATTACTCCTCAGATACTGAAGCAATCCATGTTCAAATGCAACAAGATCTGGACAGTATCCAGACTTAGGCTGACAAGTGGCAAGAAAATTTGTGCCACACAGATACCAGACAATGACTATCTCCAATAACAGTCAATCTAACCACTGCCATTGATATTCAATGATTTACAATCACTGAGTCCCCCACTATCAACATTCTGGGGGTTATCATTGACCAGAAACTGAACTGGACTCACCAAAAGCTGGTCAGAGGCTAGGAATACTGCGGCGAGTAACTCACCTCCTGATTCCCTAAAACCTGTCCATCATCTACAAGGCATAAGTCAGGAATGTGATGGAATACAGCCCACTTCCCTGGATGGGTGCACCTCCAAAAACATTCAAGAAACTTGACACCATCCAAGACAAAGCAGCCACTTCACTGACATCATATTCACTCCCTCCACCAGTGATGCTCAGCAGATGTGTGTACTATCTCATGACGCACTGTAGGAATTCACCAAAGATTCTTAGCCAACGCCTTCCAAACCCACAACCACTTCCATCTAGAAGGATAGGGGCAGGTGATACATGGGTATACCACTATCTGCAAGATCCCCCTCCAAGCCACTCACCATCTTAATTTGGAAATATATCATTATTCCTCCACTGTCACGGAGTCAAAATCCTGGAATTCCCTCGTTAATGGCATTGTGAATCAACCAGCAGCATGTAGCCTACAGTGGTTCAAAGCAGCAGCTCACCATCACCACCTTCGAGGGCAACTAGGTACGAACAATAAAATGCCCATGTCCCACTAATGAATAAAATTATAATACACTTACCCTGTACCAACATCTCATATGAAGAAAATGATACATTAAATCAACAATTTGCATTGCTTGATTTCACTAGCCCCAACTAATTAGTTGTCTGCCAAAGCAGAGATTTACTGAAGCCACTTTGGCATATGCCATTTTGCTTTGAAGTCCAAACAGATACAAGAAAGGTCAAAACAAAAACTGCCTTGTGAGTGTAAACAATTTAGAAAAGCTTATGAATCAAAGAAACCATTCTATAGAACACAATAGCTTTTCCTTTCAGGAATGGCCAAAGTAAAAAGGTGATTCATCCACTGTGGCACAGGGGTAGATGATGCATTATTCCTGTCTATGCTAGCTGCTTGCAACCACCAATATTAAACCACAACCTTATTACAATTTTACTGAAAATGACTAATGACGTTTACTAATATTAAACAGACAAAACTTCAGTTTATTATATCTATTATTAATCTATTGAGAAAAACAATCTGGAATATATACAAGTGATTTTATATTAAACATTTCAGAGTATTTGAATGAGTACTTACATTGACATCTGCCACCATTAATTGGGTCTCCGTAGTATCCCTGCATGCAAGCTTCACATTGCTTTCCAGCAGTCAGATTCTTACATTGTTCACAAATACTGCTGTTGATGCATGTGCTGTGACCATTACATTGACAAGCTATAAAAAAAAAGTGCATCTGTTGTGATTTTTCTTCTTCGAATAAATTCAAACAAGCCATTACGGAGCCAACATTTTATCCTTCACGTACCCAGTCAATTTTAATATTCGTGCATATTGTCATATATGCTAGTTAACTTGGCTGAATAATTTGACCATTAAATTTCAGATATAATACGCAGAAATCTGAACCTAAATGGCGCTTGTAGACAATTTGCAGAGTGTTCTTGACTCATTCTCCACCCCCAATGTAACAATATTTTGAATGAGTGCTCAGCAAACTGTAGTTCAAAATTAGAAAAAGGGCACCTAGTGCATCAAGCTCCTAAAATTTACTTATGAGACACTTAAGTCACTTTATTTAAAAACTCAAAGCTGCCATTCCATGATTGCTCTTTATTTTGGATCAGAGCGACTATCAATGGTTTCTACTTACATGGTCGATATTTTATTTAGACTTCCAAAAATTTTGTTTTAAGGTAGAAAAAGAGTCATGGGACAAGAAATATGAGGTATCATACTTCCTTGTATAACGTTCCAGTAAAATGCCTAAGTAGGTCTCATAATATTAAAGATATTACATAAATGAAAGTTGTTATTGCATCTGCAAGCATTATCAGAGTGCAGAAGAATATTACAAATGTTCCAATAAAATGTTAATATGTCAACATGTAAATTATTTCAACTGGTTGGCAAATTACTCCAGGCAACCTTGTAGTTAATATTCAAAGAACACCCACACAAGCAAAGTTAAAACAAAATTATTTTCCATTAAACAATATTCAATAATTCTGTTAAAGCTCTAGGCAAACACATGACAAGTTCAGCTTTCATTACATGACCAAAACAGGTCTTCTATTCAAAATGCCTTCCATTCAAAACACTGAGAAGTTTTGTTTAACAACATATGATCCTGTAAACATGAGTTTTCATCCAACTTATGTGTCTCATACAATATAAAATTGGTAGCACACATACAGATTACTTTCCTCAAGTTATCAGTAAAGGTGCTGGCAATATCTGCTATGTAACTGAAGGCATCCAAGTAGACCTTAACATACCAAAGTTCAGGTCCCAAGATACTTTGGAAAGACTCAACACAAATCCACAGGAACTGATAACAGTTCTCATAGCATCCCAAGAGATACACAGGTGAGATTTATGAGATGCTGATGATCCTCAAGAATCAGGGAATGTTTGGAAAGTTGAAGTAGGCTGGTAATGAACTAAAGTGATAAAAATTTACAAGATAGGGCTCTGGAGTAAAGAGTTAATTATAATGTTATTCTAACTTTACTCTTAAAATACCTATTGAGTATGGACGAAACCAGTTATGTCATACAATGTTAGATCACATTGAATTGGAGCTTAGGTCAGTAGGATGTGATCATCGCTGGCTAGGCCAGCATTCATTATCCATCCTTAGTTGCCGAGGGGGCAGTTGAGAGTCAACCACATTGCTGCAGGTCTGGAGTCACATGTGGGCCAGTCCAGGTGAGGATGGCAGTTTAAGATATCAAGTTCTGAAGAAGGGTTCCGACCCAAAACATCAACTTTCCTACTCCTCTGATGCTGCCTGACCTGCTGTGTTCCTCCAGCTCCACTCCGTGTTGGCACCAAAGGATGACAATTTCCTTCCCTGAACCAGACACTAGTGAACCAGATGGGTTTTCCCTGACAATCAACAATGGTTTCATGGTCATCATTCGACTTTTAATTCTAGATTTTTATTGAATTCAAATTCTATCATCCGTCATGGCGGGATTTGAACCTGGGTCCTGAGAATATCACCTGGCACTCGGGATTAATAGTCTAGTAATAATACCACTAAGCCATCACCTCCCCCTAAGTCAGGAAGGGGTGTGACTGAGAATTTACAGGTAATGGTGATTTCATGCTTTGTCCATCTAAGTGACAATTATTGCACTTTTGGAAAATGCTGACAAATGAAACTAAGCCAGTTGTTTAAACAACTGCTTATGGTACACATTTGCTTCCACTATGAGTTGATAGTGGAGAGAGTGTAAGTTGATGGATGAGTGCCAATTAAGTGGTCTTTGTCTTAGGTGATGTCGTTGGTGCTGCTCTCATTCAGGCAGGCAGGGAATAATCAATCCAACTCTGACTTGAAGCTTGTAGTTGGTGAATAGACTATGTAGAGTCACAATAGAGATACTTTTTCTCCTCCAGTTCATTGACTAACATTCAAAACCTACAATCATCTTTTATGCCGGGTATGACTCCAACAAGTAAAGTGTTTTCCCTGACTTCAATTGTCTTAGGGCTCCTTGATATCATGCTTGATCAAATGCCTTAATGATAAGGGCAGTCACATTCAACTCCCCTTTTGAATTCAACTCTTTTGTACAAGTTTATACGAAGGCTTTATGATGTCTGGAACAAAGTGCCTTGACAGAACCCAAAATGAGCATCATTCAGAAGGATATTATTGAGTGAGAGTCACTTCACAGATCTGTCAACAAATTCTCAAATATTACAAGGAAGGAGATACAATGCAGCAAACGCCCGTCATAGAGAAAATGCTGGATTTTTTGATTGACAGAGAGGGATACTTAGAAATCTGAATGTGAATTTTCACCAAATAGGGCAAAATTACAGACATGTTTGACTAACTTATGGAAGTTTTCTGACAAAGTGACAAGTAATGTGAATAAAGAGAAACGTGTGGATATGCTGCACTTATATTTCCAGAGGCATTTGAAAAGATGCCACATTATAGGTTAATGCACCAAATAGGAATTCAGGGTATACCGGCTAACATAATAACATGGATAGAAAATTGGCAAGAAATATCAAGTGGAATGCAACAGGGATCAATGCTTGGGCCTCAACTCCCACAATTTATATGAATGACTTGGATAACAGAACCAAATGTGTGATTGCTGAATTTGCTCATGACAAGGTCACAGAGGAAAACAAGTTACTAACAGGATATTTAAAGAATAAAAGATAGATTAAGAATTTAACGTGGAAAATGTGAATTTGTCCACCTCGGTAGTAAGAATGGAAAATGGACAGAGATTGCAGAACTCTGAGGTACAGAGCAATCTGGTATCTTGTTACATGAATCGTGAAGTTAATATGGGGGTACAGCAAGCAATTAGGAATATCAACTGAATATTCTTGTTCAATGCAAGGGGAATGGAATATAAAAGAAACAACAATTGTACAGGGCATTGGTGAAACAACAATATGAAGTATTGTATACAGCTTTGGTCTCCTTATTGAAGGAAGGATATAAGTACATTAGAAGCAGTTCAGAGAAGGATCAAATGGCTGACACATGGATTTTTTTTTCCTTATGTGCAAAGGTTGGATAGGCTGTGCCTGTATCCATTGGGGTTTAGATTCATAAGATGTGATCTTACTGAGGCACATAACAGGAGGAAACATTGTAAAAATAAGGGGTCTTTCAGTTAAGATGAAAATGAAAATGAAAATTTATTTTTCCATCTCTCTCAGTATGTTGACTGTCTTTGAAACTCTTCTCCCAGAGAGCATTCGTAATGGGTCACTGAATATACTTGAAGTAGAGGGAGATAGACTTTTGCTTGACAGGGAGTGAAAATGTTATGGGGGGTAGGTGAGAATGTGGGAGTTGAGGCGATAATCAAATCTGCCATGAATGATGGCAATTGTGGGTAACAGTTTTAATCAGTTTACACAAATTACTTTGGTTTTAGTTTGCATTTAACTGAAATTTGGTTTAAATTCCAAAATTTCTAGCCTTTAGCAAGGTTATAAGCTGGAAGAGTAGTTGGGCTTAGTTAATTGAACACACTTCTGAAACTGGTTTCTATACAACTGGGTCAGCTAGGCTTTTTGTATTAGGAACAAATAAAACTAGCCAACTTAGTGCAATATACACTGGTGTACAGAGAGTTTAGTGATTAAGCAAGTTAGGGAAGGAAGAGAAGTAGGGTTCCTTTTTGTTTTCCTGCTTATTCTAATTATTTCAGCCTCCAGGAAGTAGTTTTCACTCTGCTGTAGGATAAAAAGCGAGTTATTAGGTTAGTGTCTGGTAAATGATCAGGGTTTACTCTATTTCTAACGTTCAAAGTAATATAGCTTCTGATCCATATAAAAGCAAAAGGAAATATATAATTGATTAAAATAATTGAGTCGCTTATTAGAACTCATTAAGGATACAGGATGGGTCAAACAACACAGGAGCACGTGTGCACTCCTGGATGCCAGTTTATTACAACGCAAACATGCCTGCTGTAGTTGATTAAAATTCAAGAAGCTGCTGCTCAAAATTTGAGCTGGAAGTTGAACTACAGACACTGTGATACATCGGGAAGGGGGAAAGCTATGTGGATTCTTTGTGCCAGCAGAAAGTCACTCCTCTTAGATCAGGGTCTTCTAAGTTGGTCAAAGTGCAGGGCTAAGAAAGCGTGACTGCAAGTGAGGCAGGTAAGGGGATTCTGAGCATCTGCAATTGTCCAACAGCTTTGAGATTCTTTAAGCTTGCTTGGATTAGAGTGGGGGATGCAGCGTAGATGAGCAAACTGACGAATGCATGATAATACCAGAAGCTATTCAAATAAGAGACATTAGTACTAGCCAGGGAGAGCTCAGCCTGAGGGCTTCACACCACTCTCTACAGGAAACAGCACAAGTCTAGGTGACTTTGTTACCTCCTATTGCTCAGTTTCAGGACATCCAGACTGATCTGAAGAACTTGCATTGGGAGGAAGTAGATGCAGTCTTCGTGTTCCATGTAGGTACCAAAGACAAAGACAATCAGGTGGTGGCTCCGCAGAGCCAGTATGAGGAATTTGGCACCAAACTATGAAGCAGACCCTCAAAAGGTCACAGCCTCTGGATTACTACCTAACCAACATACAAATTGCATACAGAAATCAAATCAGATGCATAACACATGGTTCAAAGACTGGTGTGGAGAAGTGGGCTCTGGTCCTTAGGGCACATGCACCAATCTGCACCATTAGAATGACTTACACCTGAACTGTGCC